AGCCAATCTGTCCTTAAGATATCTGGAAATTTAGAAGGGATAGACTCAGGACCAAATATTGGCTCTTGTGGACCTACTTTAATTTTCTTCAGCTTCAACCTGAACTGACATATGAGTAATTGATGGTTTGTTCCACAGACAGCCCATGGCTTGATTTTAGTTGTTGATGTTGACCTTCCCTATTGTTTTTCCCCACAGATGTAGTCAATTTTGTTTCGGTGTATTCATCTGTAGAAGTTCAGGTGTATAGTTCTGTTTGTGCTGTTGGAAAATGGTATCGGCTACAAACAAGTCTTTGGTCTTGCAAAATAATTTCATGGGATTCATTTTTATCCCCAAGACAATATTTTCCAGCGACTATTTCTTCCTCTTTGTTTCCAACTTTTGCATCCCAATCAACAAGAATTATCAAGGCATCTTGATGGCATTCAATCATTTTCTGACTAAAGATTTTTGTAGAATTCTTCAATTTCTTTATCAATAGTTTTTGTGGTTGGTGCATAGCTTTGAGTAATAGTTACAGTGATTGGATTTCCTCGAAGGTAGGTCGAATATCACAGACAGCACAGCACTTGACAATGAATATTACACTATTCCTCTGGATTGTGTCATTCCTGGCATAGTAAACTGTATGAATTTCTGATTCAAAATGTCCAATATCAGTCTATTTCATCTCACTAATGGGTAGGACAACGATCTTTATGCATTTCATTCCATTTGTGACCACTTCCAATTTTCCTAGATCCATGCTCTCTACATTCCCGTGTCTGATCATTAGTAAAGTTTTGCAGCTGTTTCTTCTCACCTTGATTTGTGCCCCATCAGCCAATGAGGATCAGGAAGTAAGTCTCCACTCCCACAGGCTTTACTCCGTTCACCTCATCACGGTCCACACTGACTTGAGGAAGCAGCTGCTCCTCAGTCGCATCTCGAGTTCTTTCAGCTCCAAGGGGCCCATTCTCCAGCACTGTCTGCAACCAAGTTCTGCATCCATTCACTAGCCCTTCAGTATGCGACAGTGTTTTGACGCTATGTAGAGGGTCATTGGTGGCTACTTCTTCTGAAGTGGGCAGTTGATTCTGTCTTCACACTTTGTACAATCCAATTATTAATTGATGTTTGCCCAACTCATTTTGAGTTGCGATCCTCAGCAAGTGAAGGTGGCTGAGGCTTTACTCCCGCAGGCTTTACTTCATCAACATCGTTATGGTTGAAGAGCAGGCAGATCTTCATGTTTTGAATATTATTCATATTTTGAGTGCCTTCTAACATGAGGGGCCAGTCCTCTGGCACATTCTCTGACCACGTTCTGATTCTGTTCATTATGTTTACACTGTCTGAGGATTTGATTTTCAGTGGCTAATTCCTCTGAAGTGGATAGCCATTTTTTGTTCATAGTCCATTCTTAGTCTGGAAGCTCTGCTGCTGGTACCTGCGATCCCAGTGACATGGCCTTCAGCATCACAGCCACACACAAGCGGCCACAGTACAACACACCGACAGATACGAGATGGCAAGTACTGTGAGGACACGAAAAAAGACAATGTCAGGGATGGAGCTGGGGAAGGGGGAGTAGGGCAGGATTGCAGAGTGGGCAGGGGGAGTTTTTAGGTAAGATGCTCAAAGAAGCCAGCCAGAGAGAGACATCTGAGATAAGACTGGAAGAATAAGTGGAAGCCAGTCATGCAAAGTCTGGGGGCCGTCATTTGAAGCTAAGGAAATAGCAAACACAGAAGACTTGAGGTGAGGGAGCCTGGTGTGTATGATGCACAAAGAGACAGTAAGTGTGATGGGGCAGAATGAATGGAGAAGTGGCAGGTGACCACGCCATAGATGTCAACAGGCCCAGCCCCTTTAGTGCCTCAGAGGCTGTAGGGTGGAGTGTGGACTTTAACTAAGTCGTTAGAAAGTCACCAGAGAGCCATATCCCAGGAATGCCAAATTCTGGCATTTATTTTTTAAGACTCTTCTAGCTGTTGGATGAGGGATAGACTGTGAGGGACCAAAGGCAAGCTATAGAGACCGGTTCTGGTGTGAGGGTTATTGGGGGAAGATGAGGTTTATGAAGAGAAAATGGCAAGTGGGCTTCAGCTGCACAGCTGAGCTGCAGAGAATGAAGTGCATGGTGGTGGGCTACTTTGTTGGGATAGAACATTCAGGACGAGCTGGCCATTGTGAGTGGAGAGAGAGAAGAGAGGTGTCCCAACAGCCAGCATCACTAAACTCCACTGTGGCACCATCACTACCTTAACTTTGACCAAGATTACCATATTACGGGGCAGAGACAAAAGCTTCCCCATGTAGAGTTGAAGATCATTTGCCAACTACATGGGTTCCCAATAAAAAACCTCCAACAACTAATTCCTTTGAATTGCTTCCAAAAGGGGGCAGGGATTTCTCCTGGGAGAGGGTGGACAAGGTTGTGGATATAGAGGAGGCTCCTGTGTGCAAAGCAGTGTGGGGATGCCTTACTCAGAGTCCCGAACCCGCCGCCTCCTCCGTGGTAGAAGATGATGGCCCGTCGGGGTTCGGAGGAAGCTGCCCTGGGCTGGAACAGTCTCACGGGTATCGTTCCAAAACGCAAGTTGGTTACCACAAGGCTGGGGTCCTTTTTAATTATCCAGAGGTCTTCCAAGAAACGGACGAATTTGTACCCAGAGCAAATTCTCAGCTTCTCAAGTACGTGGCCCTGTTAGAGTTAAGAGAAAGAAAGAGCGGCATTAGGGAAGGTTAGATCCTGTAGGGACTCTCTCTCTCTCTCTCTCTCTCTGTACTCGTGGGAGCACAGCGTGGGGTCCAGGTGAGGGTAGGAGTCAGGGTGGGGTGGGGGTGGGTGTTGGGGGTAGGGAGGGAGTAGAAGCATCCCTGCCCATGGAAATGTTAGATCTTGGGTAGTGTGCATGCTTTACTCACACTTGACTGATCAAAACTTCGGAGGTTTGAGTCCATTCAAGGTACTTCGGAGGAAAAGACTGCTTCTGAAGTATTGGCCACTGGACTCTCCAAAGCCCTGACACCTCATGGGAGCACTGCCCTATGACATATTCTTAGGCTCTGTCTGTGTTCAACAGGGACAGACATATTGCACAGCTCAAAAGTGCCTCTTTTAAGTTTTAAATCCCAAAGATGTCATTTTGATGAGAAGATGCCTCTGACTCGGGCTATGGTTTATCCATGAACTCATATGCATGTGAAAGCTAACAACAACACAAAACCTTACGGTCACTGCATGGGTTCTATAAACATAATAACCATATGGAACACAGTAGCAACCCCTGTGGGTTTCTTAGACTGTAAATCCTTACAGGAGTAGAAAGCCTCATCTTTCTCCAACAACACATTCAGTAGTTTCAAACTGCTGACTTTGTGGTTAGAAGCCTAAGATGTAACCCACTGGACCACCATGGCCCCTAGATATGGAAGCTGGGCAATGATAAAGGAAGGCCTCAAAACTGGCGCATTTAAACTGTGAAGGTGGCTCAGAATTCCTAATAGATTGCCAAGAAGAATGGGAAAATCAGTTTTAGGAGATGTGATAGTGACATAATCTGTTGTCAGTTTGAGAGGATTGAGAGTGGAGGGGTGGAGTTTAGCCTGTCAATCAGGTTGCAGCTTGATGACCTCATTTGTAGGCGCTAAGGAGATAAATAGCTCGCTGGAGGCAGGACACACACTCACTCCGTGGGAGACATTCCTGCTGACAAGACATATGGAGCTATGTTAGAGCCCTGGAGCTGGAAGAGTCACATGGAGACCCCTGCCAGTGCTGAGATGCTTATACCACCATGGGTCCACAAGATTTTCTACCCACTGGCCTGTGATCTTCCTGCATTGGGTGCCATTGCATGTGCTTCATGACTCTGAAGAGGACTTTATAAATTGGTAACAGACATATGGGCTAATATTGGACGTATAGACTTGATGTGGACTGGGCTGGGATGTTTTCTCAACATTAATTGCTCTTGTATATAAAGCTCTCTCTCATACACATGAGTGTCTTTGAATTTGTTTCTCTAGTCAACCCAGACTAACACAGGAGAAATGCAGCCAGAATTCACCTTAACAGTGAAGATGAGACATCTTAGACTTGCTTACTTTGAAAATGTTATCAAGAAAAGATTGGAGTTTTCTAGGATTTCGTCTTGCTTGGATCCACAATCAATGCCCATGCAAGCAGCAGTCAAGAGATCAAACAGTACATTGCATTGGGTAAATCTGCTGCACAAGACCCCTTTCCAGTGTTGAAAAACAAGGATTTTACTTTGAGGCCAAGGTGTGCCTGACACAAGTCGTAGTGTTTTCAGTGGCTTCATATGCATGTGACAGTTAGACATTGAAGAAGGAAGACTGGAGAAAAGTGATGCCTTGAATTATGGCGCTGATGAGAATATTGAAAACTATCATGGACTGCCAAAAGAACTAACAGATCTGTCATGGAACAAGTACAGCCAGAATGTTCCTCAAAGGGAAGGATGGCTGGACTTGGTCTCCCTTACTTTGGACCTGTTACTAGGAGAGACCAATCCCAGGAAAAGGGGACATCATATTTGGCCAAGTAACAGGGCAGCAAATTAGAGGACTATCCTCAACAAGCCACACAGTGGCTGCGACAATGGGCTCTAAACTTAAGAACAATTGTGAGGCCAATGCAGGACTGGGCAGGTTTTCACTCTGTTCTACATAGGGTCACTATGAGTCAGAACCTGCTCAATGGCACTGAACAATAGTAACCACAACATGCTCAACAGAAAGGCATGATGTGATCAACAAGGGATGTGAGCAGTAGGCTATGGGTCATACTAACAGTTAAGCACCAGGTTACTAAATGAAAGATTGGTGGTTGGAAAGATCAACTTCAAAAGGATCACAAGCAAACCCTAGGTTGCACAGTTCTACTCTGAAACATGAGGTATTCCCTGAGTTAGGCTCTAAGGGGACTGGTTTGTTTTTCTGATGTGGGTTCAGGAGGAGAAATAATAGTACAAGATAGATAGATAGATGATAGATAGATTTTACTTTTTTAAAAAGTTCTATATTTTTGCCAAATGTGAAACTAAATTCATTGTTTTCAAACTTATGCAGTCACTTTATTAATAAGTCATGAATCTGGATTTGTTTTTCTTACAGTGAATTTTCCAAAAATTCTCCAATTTCCCCCCATAACATTTTCAAGAGCTAGTAATTTAGGGCAATGGCGCAATGAAAGAAGGTGGATTATTGTTACAGTGCTACTTCAGTTGTTGAACTCAATTAGCTCTACATTTGTGTTCGAACATCAAAAATATCAAGAACTGAACAAAATTTTCCCATTAGAAACAAGAGAACACCAAATCATTGATTGTGAAGCACCAAAAGTATACTTATAGATTCCTTTTTCCGGGACTTTCAATCACTATGGAAGCTTTCAGCCTTCTCACATATCACTGTCACCGAGACGCTATCACCACCGAGTTGTTTCCTTTTTACCAGTATCTGGATCAGAACTGTTTGACTTCTTCAACGGATTGGGTTCTTTGTTTCGTGGTTAACAATTTCACAACTTTTGCTACATTAGCCCCTGTAACCACCTTCCCCTCCCCCCAAACGTTGATCATTTCAATTTAGCCAGGTTGTATTCAGCCACTAAATCAGATGAATGGCTACCTGAATCAAATTTCGCAGTGGTTTCTTTCTTTAGCTCCACCAAGGTTCTCCCAGTTTTCCTCTTAGCTTTATGCAGGTATCACTAACCTTCTCTGGAGCCATGGTTATGACTTGTTACACGAAAAGAAGCACATCGATGAGTGTTTTAACACACTAATACAAGCGCTATATGTTGTCTGAGCGATGCTTAGACTGAAGTGTTGCTCCTTTGGGTGGGGATAGGTTTTCTCAAGTTGGATTTTTGGTTCAAGTATTGAGCACAGTTATGGACACTAAGCAGATCATTTTCAAACTGCTGTTCAAGACGTGTACAGTTCAAACTTGGAATTGTTCCACATCCGAGGTGCCATTGTACTTCACGGGGGAGCATCAGCATTTAGGAATGCCTGAAGTTCAACCTTCAAATACGTACTAAAACTTGTTTACAAAATACGTTAGCAGTGCTTGTCTTTTAAGGTAGAATCAGGCAACTCAGTTTTAAAAAGTGGATAAGAAACTTCATTAGACATTTCTAGAAAGGAAAAAAAAAGTACAAATGGCCAATCAGCTCATGAAGAGATGCTCAACGCAATTAGTCATCAGGCAGATGGTCATTAAAGTCATAATGAGATACTATTTCAAGCCAACTAGGATGGCATTATCCAACATAAAACAAACCAGAAAATAACCCTGTCTGCAAGGATGTGGAGAAATCAGAGAGGTCCAACCCTGCTGACAGAACTGCCAATTCACTCAGCTGTTGTGAATTAGCTTAGAATTAACATATAGCACAATCGCACACCCCCGCCACCACATTTCACTTTAGATATATCCCCGAAACAAAAGGAAACAGGTTCTCAAGCAAGTACGTGTATGCTGTGTTCATAGTAGCACCATTCCCATAGCTGTATGGTAGAAACAGTCCAAACGTCCATGAATAAATGAATGAACAAACCATGGGCTACAGATAAAATTAATATGAATTACACCATTGAAAAATGGATTACTGACATGTGCTACCATGTGGATAAACCTCAAAAACAATATGTTAAATGAGAGAAACAAGACACAAAAGGGCAAAAATGGAAAGATTTATATTTTATATCAGAATAGTAAGGTTTATGGAGCTAGAAAGTAGACAGGTGGTTACTAAGGACAAGGGGAGGGGAAAATGGGTTTCTTTTCACAGTGATAAAAATGCATTGCAATTAAATAAAGGTGGTGGTTAGACAATGCTGTGAATTTACAAAGTGCCAATAAATTGTTCCTTTTTAAAAAGCTAATTTCTTGTTATGTTAATTTCACTTTATAAAATGATGTAAAATAAGTAATATTATTATACCCGCCCCTCACTTATGGATTTGGCAGGTCCCCAAGACTAAGCTGTTGAGAAAAATTGGCATTTTGTGAAAATGGAGGATGACCACATTAGATCACAAACTGTAGGATGATTTTATTACTGGATAACTGCCAAATGATATTGTAACATAACTGCCAAGCCACTGAGAAGCATGGGGCAGCCAATTTGACACATAACTTTAACCATCACAGTCAGGGTTACTCTCACCTTGCACCTCAGTGTTTCTCACTACTAGACATATGTCATTATGCACAAAAAGTCAAATAGTAGATTTTTTTAAACCCTGTTATGTTATGAAATGTCAGATAATGAGATAGATGATAGGTAGGGGGTAAATGTATTATTCTTTGTGTTTTACTAAACACAAAGAAGCAGCAATCAAGAAATCAAATGATGTATTGTGTTGGACAGATCTGCTGTGTAAAACCAAAAATCCAGTCTTACTGCCAATGAGTTGATTTTGATTCCTAGAAATCCTTACATTTTTACTAGAGTAGACAGTTTCATCTTTCTTCCTTGAGGTAATTGGTGGATTAAAACCACTGACCATGTGGTTATCACCTAAATACTTGGTCCACTAGGGCACCAGGGCTTGTATGACTTATTTAAAGTCCTAAAGAGCAAAGATTGTAACTTTGAGGACTAAGGACCAAAGCCATGTATTTAAAATCATGTCTTATGCATGTGAAAGCTGGGAGAATGAGAAGAATTGATGTATTGGAATTACGGGGTTGGCAGAGGACATTGAAAATGCCATGGCCAGCCAGAAGAACAAACGAATCTTTCTTGGAGGAAGTAGAGCCAGAGTGCGCCTTAGAAGTGAGGTTGCAGAGACTTTGTCTAACGTGCTTTGGTATGTTACCAGGAAGCATCAAACCCTAGACAAGGACATCATGATTGGTAAAGTAGAAAGGTTATCAAAGAAAAGGGAGACCCCCAGCAGTATGGATGGCTACAGTGGCTACAGCATTGAGCTTAATATACCAACAACCGTGATGGTGGTGCAGGACAAAACAGTGTTTTATTCTGTTGTGCATAGTGTCTCTGTAAGTTGGAGCTGACCTGACAGCAGCTAACAACACAAGATTGAAATCATTTATAGATATTATGTAACTCTATAATTACATTAGTGTGGTAGTTACATCATCTGTTGTCAATTTGAGAGGATTAAGAGTGAAGGGGTGGAGTCTAGCCTGTCAATCAGGTCGCAGCTTGATGACCTCATTTGGAGGCATGAAGGAGATAAATAGCTCCCCAGAGGCGGGACACATGCTCACTCCCCGCAAGACATGCTGCTGACAAGACACATAGAGAGAGGCTGATGCAGCCAGAGCCTGGAGCTGGATGGGTCACATGGAGACCCATCCCAGTGCTGAGATGCTTCTACTCCCACTGGATCCACAAGACCTCCCACCCACTGGCCTGTGATCTTCCTGCATTGGGCATCATTGCATGAGTTTCATGAGTCTGAAGAGGACTTTGTAGATTGGTATCAGACATATGGGCTAATATTGGACTTATGGACTTGATCTGGACTGGGCTGGGATGTTTTCTCAATTTCAACTGCCCTTCTATATAAAGCTCTGTCTTATACACATATGAGCGTCTCTGGATTTGTTTCTCTAGTCATCCCAGATTAGCACAAGTAGGAATTATCATACCCTCACTTTCAAGGATCTGATAAACTTACTGATAATAATTTACCAAGACTCATGGAATTGATGAAATACCAATTGAAATGGTTCTACAAACTGATGAAGCACTGGAAGCATTCATTTGTCTATGCCAGGAAATTTGGAAGACAGCTGCTCAACCAACTGACTGGAAGAAATCATATTTGTACCCATTTCAAAGAACAGTGACTCAACAGAATGCTCAAATTATAGAACAATGTGACTCACATCACATGCAAGTAAAATTTTGTTAAAGATCATCCAACAATGGTTGCAGCAGTATAGTCACAGGGAGCTGCTAGAGGTTCAGGCTGGATTCAGAAGAGGATGTGGAACAAGGGATATCATTAGTGGTGTCAGATGGATCTTGGGTGAAAGCAAAGAATATCAGGAAGATGTTTACTTGGGATCTATTGGCTATGCAAAGGCATTCGACTGTGTGAGTAATTACAGACTATGGATAACCTTGAGAAGAATGAGATTTTCAGAACACATCCTTGTGCTTGTGCAGAGCTTGTACATAGATCAATAGGCAGTTGTGCAAACAGAACAAGAGGATACAGTGTAGCTTAAAATCAGAGAAGGCATATGACAGGGTTGTAGCCTCTCACCATACTTATTCAATCTGTATGCTGAGAAAATAATCAGAGAATCTGGATTACATAAAGAAGAATGTGGTATCAGGTTTGGAAGAAGGTTTATTAACAAATTGATAAGCAGATGACACAAGCTTGCTTATTGAAAGAGAGGACTTGAAGCCCTTGCTGCCATCAGTAAGAAGGACAACTCAACGTAAAGACTGAAATCCTCACAACTGGACCAATAGGTAACACCATGATAAATGAAGAAAAGGTTGAAGTTGTCAACAATTTTGTCTTGCTTGGATCCACAATCAATGTTCATAAAAGCAGCAGTCAAGAGATCAAAAGGCGAGCTGCATTAGGTAAATCTGCTGTGCTAGGCTTTTTTAAAGTGTTGAGAAGCAGAGATGTTACACTCAAGTCATGGTATTTTCAGTTGCCTCAGTGCATTTAAAAGTTGGACATTGAATAAAGAAGACTGAAGAAGAATTAATACATTAGAATTGTGTGCGTGAGAAGAACATTGAATGTACTACTAAAAGGACAAACCAATTTGTCTTGGAAGAGATATGGCAAAAGCGTACCTTAGATGCAAGGATGACAAGATCTTGTCTCATGTACTTTGGACATGCTGTCAAGAGAGACTCTGTAGATGGTCATCATGACCTCTGTAGAAGGTCATCATGTTTGGTAAAGTAGAGGGGCAGTGAAGGAATGAAGTCCCTTCAAGGAAATGGATGCACACTGTGGCTGCAACTGTGGTGGGCTCAAGAATAGGATAAATTGTGGGGATGGTGAAAAACCAGGCAGTGTTTCTTTCTGTTGTGCATGCAGTCACCATGGTTTGAAACCGATTCCCTGGCACCTAACAATAATTCAGCCATTAAGGAGCCCTGGGGACATAGTGGCATATGCATAGGGCTGATAACTGTAAATCCAGCAGTTCACCCTCATCCGGTACTCTGCAGTCAAAAACCAGACTCACTGCTCCAATAATGATTTGCTGTCTCAGAAAACCCAACGGGACTGTTCTATACTGTCCTGTAGCATAACGAGGAGGCAGAATCAATCCAATGGCCATGGGTTTTTAGGGGAATTCAGCCTTTGCAAGTTTCTAGGTGGTGCAATTGGTTAACTCAATTAACTGCTAACCAAAAGGTTGGGGGTTTGAGTTCACCCAGAAATAAAACAGCACATGCTCTGATGATCTGCTTCCAAAAACTTGAATATTGAAAACCCGGTGGAACACTGGCCTACTCTGGCACGCAGAGTTGTGCATACACAATGGCAACTGGTCTTTCTTCTCATTGAGTCCTGTCCTAGTGCCTAGCATTACAATGCATTCTCTCAATCCACTCCACGTCACCCTTTATGAAATGCATCTTTTACTATCCTAGAGTTTCAGAGGACCAAGCAAACATATAAAAACAGTGACTACAAAGCTAACTTGAGAAATTCCAGGCTCAGACTAGGACTGTCTCCTCCAAAACAGGGGTTTCTGGTGTTGCCAAGAGTTGGGGTCTACTCAACGGCAACATGGTAGCCATCCTTCTTAAACATCTTGTCTCTCCCATGCCTTTCTTCCAGAAACAACTGACAATTAATCATGCAGATATCCTCCTCTTCCTCCTCCCACTCCTCCTCCTCGTCCTCCTCTCATTATGAGCAGTGTGTCTTGGGTTCAGTGACAGATGGTCCAAGATGAAGTGGCACAAGCTGGCTTAGCCTCAGAGCCAACACAAACCTTATTAGGTTTCCTGTGATCAATCCACAGTAGCTGTAACCAGGAGCTGCTTAGCGTGTTTTCTGGAGGAGAAACATGAATGCTGAACATCCTCAGCTTTCCCCGGTCACCTGGACATCACAGCCCTCCATTTTTACTTTTTGGGCTCCAAGCTGGCCTGTTGCCCATGTGGACTAGATCCATTGGTTTGAAAAAAGCTTGAATTCCAGGTGAGCACATGGTCAAGGTAACAGGAGAGCCAGCCAAGAGCTGAATATCTTCTGCTAACTTCCTTGGATCAATAGGATTTATATAATTAATGAGATGGAAATTATTACCCTCACTTCAAAGATTTCAATGGAGACAAGGTAAGGTTGCATAAATTGCCCAAGATCATGAGACTAGTCTGGGCACAGCTGGCATGCACACTTACCATCTGACTGCAAAGTCCATGTGGCCAAAGATGGCCCCTCACTGCCCTCTCCACAGGTGATTAATGTGAATCATTGGGCAGTTATAAGGTCTCCACACAGCGATGGAGCATCAGAGTGAAATCAATTACCTGTCTCCTATAAGATGCCAAACCATGATCCCCAAATCGTTATAGCTCTGAGCATGTATGTGACAGGCTGCCAATCCTATAACCACACTCTCAGAGTCTGGTTCATCATGGCTACTCTAAAATCCTGAGTGAATTGGTTCATGACTTGCTCAACAAACATTGAGCAAGGTCCTGGGTTTCAGGCTGGGCTTTCAAAGGCGAAGCAGAATTTCCCTGCCAACAGTGTCTTAAGGTCTCTACAGAGGGGGAAAAACCTGTACCCCATAAATAATTGAGTGCATTGATAGCAACATAGCATTATTCCCTGCGAGGATCGAAGTCGTTTGAGGGCAGGGACTATTTCTGAAATTGACATGGAATCCTCAGATTAGCCCAGTGATTGGCATGTAATGGACAGTAAATGTTTGTCATTGTAGGAAGTCAGGCAAGTTGCGAAGGAAGAAAGGAAAAAAAATGGCAGATTGAAGGGAAGGAAGAATGTTGGAGATAATGGAGGAAGAAGGATACAGAATAGCAAATCCAGGAAAGCAGACCAAATCTGTCTTGGGACGTCTGAAGAGAAACAGGAAAGGGAAATGAAAGAGAAGAAGAAGGGAAAAAGTCCCTGAGTGGTATATGTTTGTGTGTGTGTGTGTGTGTATACTTGCACATATACTTAACATGTTCAGCTGATACTGAAGGCACCTCAGAAGAAAGGCTTGGCGATCTACTTTCAAAAACTCATCCATTGATAACCACTTCTACTCTGACACACACTGGGCCACCATGAGTCAGAATCAACTCTATGGCACCCCGTTTCTTTCAGGTACAAAGAAGAAGACAAGCCCCTAGCACGGGATGGAGCCTGAGTGCACACTCACCAACGTAGTTATATACAGGAACGCACAGTGAAGCATTCTGAACTTGATCCGGTGCTTTAGGACAGCAGGGACATCTGCAGTGAGGAAATGCTTGAAGACAGCCCATACCAAAACCCCCAGAAGAGGGAGCAGCAGCAACAGGACCCACATGCTGAAGCCAAGAGCCACTGTTGTCTGGAGAACCAACCAGCTCAGGAACTTGACCTACTTTTATGGGTTGCCTCTTTCCTTATAACCTCTTCCCAGCTGTTTCTGACTCAGTGACCTAGCTGGCTTCCTGAGGTATTGTAAACACCATTGTACCTGTGAGAATTTAAAGGTCTTGCTTCATCCTAGGATGCAGGGACCAGGGAAATACATGTGGTCATTGTTGATAAGCTTAGGGATGAGCTGTCCAAAGGCTCACAGGGACAGAAGTCAAAGCTCAAGCGGCCAGAGAGGGACCTCATATGGGTTATAAAGGCAACCTGATGCTTCAGTTGTAAATTAAGGCACAGTCAGCCTCCTTCACCAACATCTTTTGTTCATGGATAGAACCAAGTGGACCCCTTCTCATGGACACATCTTGGACACTGGAGTGAAACATGAGTGGTTTAAAATCAGGAAAGGTGTGTGGCAGGGCTGTATCTTTCCACTAAACTTTCAGAGTGAAGAAATTGATAAAAATTCTTCTATTTATTCACCACTAGCTTTAGTGATTGGTGCATAAATTTGATTAATAGTTGTATTGACTGGATGTCCTTTTGTTCAGAAAGATATCTTATCACAGACAGCATTGCATTTCAAGATTGATCGTGATATGTCCTTTTTGATGATTAGCGTGATGTCCTTCCTATTGAATTTTTAATATCCTGTGTAGTAAACCATATGACTCTCTCATTCGAAATGGCCAGTGTCAGTGTATTTCAATTCACTTATGCTGACGAGATGCTCCTCACTGGCCCATGGCCCTGCGGGGGACAACACCAGG